AGTTTATGAAAGAACCTCAATACAGCGACAAAGGTTGTCCATAATTCCATATCAACAGTTGGAATGCCTAAACATTGAACTTTGCAAGTAGGATGCCTTCTTCAGTGGGTATGTATTAACTTCAACATATTACTACGTATGTGTTAATCCATCCCGCCCTTTTCATACCAGGAATTGAGAAATCTCAACAAAAGTTCCGTATAAGACACTCTCTCATAGCCTTGTCCTGCTTATTCGAGTTACAAGGAGAACAAATAGATTCTGACTTATTTATTTTGCTTAAATGGACATTACCAAATGTTATTCCTCTTTAAGAACTCAACAGGATTAGCCATATCGTTTCAGCCAAAAAAGAAATCTTAGCAAACGGGCCCTAGTTCAAAGCTTAAATGGATTGGATGCCTCACAGAGTGAAACTAAAATCCTCATTCTAGGAGCTATAGATAACAACATAAATATTACTAGAATAGTTAAACAACTGCATACAGTAGACAATAAACACTTTAAAAAGATATACCTAGTGTATAAAAGAAGACCGAGAAAAATAATACAAGGCCAAATACCAATTCATGCATAAAGAAACTGGCCAGAATGAAACTTGAAGATAAACCAAGTGTATAGAAGAAGTAAAAACACACACTGATGCAAATAGACTTACCAAGATGGACTTAACGGGCTTGGGGTATTGGGAGTTCAATAGCCAGGTCTTAAAGGTCAGGATTTGATTACTCTTCTATGAGTTTTTTGGGATCTCAAAGGAGGTGGGTACTTGGGTATAGGTATGGGGGATTGTGGAGGCGGTGCGTTGCGGTGATGGGGTCGCCGGGAAACTACCGCGACAAAGTCACCGGGAGACTGGAGAAGAGGACGAATCCACCTGCAATCACGCCGCTCGTGTTGGACTCGGAATGGAAGACAGGCGGCAACGAAAAGGATCCACGTCAAATTAGGGATTTGGGAAAGGAGAGAAAGGAAAAGGGAAATGAGAAAAGAATAGCTAAATAAGGTGCAGGAAGATTGAAGAGAGAGGAGGATGGTGAGACGGTGATTTTTTTTGGAAGGGGTGACTTTTTTGAGTTTATATAGTGTGTATAGGTGTGCGTATAAGTGTTTACAAAGAGCAAAATTGTAATAATATAGCAGTTTATAAAATTTCTTAGTATATGTTCGAATGATGAATTCTTTTACATAATAGAAATATTGGGGAGGTTTTCATTTTCGAGATTAGTCTTCAATGCATTTGAATGCATCTCAGCCGCATGATTACTCACCCAGATGTACTGCTCACATTTTCTTTGCATTTTCCCCTTTGCTCCCAGGTTTTCATTCTTAAGAAGATTTCTTAGTATATGTAAAAGATGAAGCCTTCTCTATATTTAGTGAGTTCTAGGATACCAGATACAGCAATCAATGCATTTAATTTTTTGCTTATTACTCCCTCCGTCCCATTTATATTGTTCCGTTTTACCTTTTCGAGAAGTCTCACTTAAATTGTCGCATACCATATTTGGCAAAGTTTGTGTGGCTCTAAATCATTCTTGCTTTATTCTTACTTTATCAATTAATATCAACCACACAAACCCACTTTTCTTAATAACCGTGTCACCCTCTTCCGTCCCAATATAAATGGGACGGAGGTAGTAATACATTTTAGTTCTTTATTACTACGTATGATTTTTCTTTGGTTTGCAGGCCATATTCAATTTGCAAATATTTGCACCGGACCATGGACGCATATAATTAGATGCTAATGTTGAGGATTTTTTGACAGTTAATTACATTTGGTCATGACTTTCCATCATTTGCAATGGAACCAAAGATTCATTATTTTTTGGCTTGATAATATGATGGAATAAAGCAAAATGGCTCACTAAACTATTTGCGCTTTTTTGTTATGAAGCAGTCGTCAGTCCATGCAATTTTGGACGCGATTTTTACCATGGGTCATCCGGAAACAGTCTCTATGTGCTTTAGTACAGGGGTAAGACTGCATACATCCGACCCCCCCTTACCCCACCGTAGGTGGGAGCCTTTTCGACACTGGGGTAAATGAAAATGAATTACATTTGGTCATGAATCATTCATTTTAAAAGTTATTTACTTTTGGTTAGCATTTACTTATTCAAATGTCAATCTTAACCAACTTTTACCTTCCTTACTTTCCGGCTTCAAATCCATTTCAAGTGCAAAGCTACTGTATGTATAAAGTCTATATTATGTCATAATATAGAACTTTCTTCAAATATGTGTTTGCTTTTTAATTATTTGTAATGGTGAGCATATAAACCGAACTTCATTTTCATAACTTTTTACATGTTTGATAAATGTTTTTTCCATAAATAAGAACATGACATGAGAATATAACATCAAACATTAATGTGGTAAGATAAGAATATAACTTTTTAATTCTGCCATTATAACACGAAATGAGAAATTAACCTAAATTTGTTTTTAAATAACATTAAAGAAGCAACCTGGATTTTTTTCTTTTTGGATTATAGGGGTTACATATCCTCATTCTGTCGTTCATTTTCACATGACATCATGTTTGCATCTGACATTCAGACTGGATGCCACCTCTCCAGGAAGAAGCAGAGTTTGCACCTTCACCAGCTCCATCTCCAGCGGTGAGTAGCCACCTGGGCCTCCAAGCAACGACCCTGCATTTAGCCCCGATGCTGCCTCTCCTGGGCCATCGTCATCACTCAGCGATTGAGGTAGTAAGGTTTTGTTCCTTAGATCTAATTTTATTAATTAAATTTATTGAAAACAAGCTCTGATTTTATTAATTAATTTTTTAGTTCTATACTTTCAATTCTCTATTTCATTATTTATGATTCAATTTCATATTGTTATTTATGAACTTATGACTTTCTAGCTTGTGGTTATTATTCTGTTATTTAAATGAGTAACTCTTCAATTTGCAAAGACATTTGGGGTAAGGAAACACCATAGATGCTATCACTGGCTATGTAGTGAGCTACTTGGTTGTACATGACTACATTCGGTTGGCAACTGGGCTATTGGTATCAATAGTGATCATGAGGTTGAAGGAGATATATTGATGATTTTAATTTGAGTTTTGTGATTCTTTGGTTAGAGGAGTTGCTGTGAGGATTGACCAATATGATATATTCAGATCCAAATCAGAGAATATAATTTATTATTAAGAAGTCAATTTTTTTATTTATTTTTTGATCCAAGTTATTTATGATTGTTATAAAAATCAAACACTTAAATGTGAAAGGTGAGTTGAAAGACTTTTTATTTCCTTGACAAATGGTAGCACAAAAATTAAATCAGCAGGGAACCAGTCATTCAATCGCTTGAGTGGAAGCATTTCCCGCTCAAATGTATACGCCATTTCAGCCGCACGATCAAGTAATAGATCCGTGGCTCTGCATTTCTTTCTCTACCCATTTATGGATCATTCTACTCTCTCTATCCAGAACGATCCTTCATCGTAGTTATTCTGAATTCACTAGCTCAAAACCACGCACCATCCTCTCAATCGTCCTTGCATTTCCTTCTATGCCCATTTTTCAGATCTTTCTACTTTCTCTCTATTGGAAGCAGTCATATCGTAAAGGGAAATCCTATGAGAGAGATTACATGCAGAAAACAAGGGAAGGGAAATCCTAGAAAATCACTTCCTAAAATAGATTAAATAATAAAGGTATTAAAATCAAATCATAATAAACTTAATCAAGCAAATCAATCAACTATTACTCCTCATTATTCTATTTGATTGCTCTGTTTATCTTTCCATAATATTATATTGTAGCATGCATCAGATTAACTGTCATTGTGAAACAGGAACCTCCATTTCGGGTGCACTATTACAAGCTGACATTGAGCTTTTTGAATCTTTTGATCACTCTCTGGATCTGATTCCTATGGATGGTGTTCAAAGCTCTGAATGTACTACTCTTGAGTCTAATGGGTTTGAAAATCTTAAAGAATTCTTTCAGGCCACACTAACAAATGGGGTAGACACACTCTTTCATTTTCTGCTTTTCGAATTTGAGAGACTCCTTGTCTCTGCTTTGGGAAATCAAGATATTTTGACTTTGAGGCCCGCGGGTGAAGAAAAATTTTCTAAAACGGAGACAATATCGGGGCAAGCTAGTCAGATCAAAGAATCAAGTGAATTAGGTATCACCAGTGGGCATGCAGATTTTGATTAGTATTATTCGAATCCGCTTCATACAGAAAATAATTATGCTTTTGATTGTGAGGGAGCTTCTGGAGGACAGTGTTCTACACATTCGGGGGATGAATTCATGGGTCATGTCTCAGAGAATGAGAAAATGACTCCTTTTTCGACAATGGAGGATCTTTGGGATTCTGATGCAAATGGGGTTATTTGTCAAAAAAAAAAATTACTGGTCACACGAAATAATTGTTTGGCCACACAGAACTTGAATACCCAAAAGAGAATGAACAAAAATAAGAATCAGCGCTCACACCTTATGAGAACTACATCTCAAACACGTGCAGAGCTTTAAAATTTTGATCAAGGGCAAAGGAGTAATAGGAGGGAATCGTTTCTAATCTTCATGTTAGTTAGTTTATGTTTTTTACTTTCCATGTTTTGATGTAATTTTTATTGTTTTTCTTAATAAAATTCCTTTAATAAAAGGTAATTGGCCTTAAATACCCTTTGTTTAAAGAAGTCTTAATTATCTAAAACTACATATTTTTTTTGTATTTTTTGATCCTTAATTGATAAGAACTTTCTATGAGTGCACCTTGTCTATGATATACACCTACTTGGGGCAGAGGCTTCTGGTGGAGGGCATTAAGCTATGGCAGCTTCAGGTCTCCCAAATTTGGGGTTGGAGCATTTTGTGGAGGGCATTCGGCTATGGCAGCTTCAGGTCTCCCAAATTTGGGTTTGAAGCATTATTTGTAATAAAGATTGTTGATTGGAATGTTATTTGCATTTCTAAAATCTAAAACTTAATGTTATATCTGCTACTGGTTATATATATAATTACCTGTAGGTATTTCACTAAAAGGGAGGATCTGTTGGTCTCGGCTGAGGATGCCACTGTCGAGAGCGGTGCCAGCGGAGGAGGAAGCAAAGACTGGTACGAGACGTGTGAGGAAGATGATGACCCGATGGTTTTGGATGACAGCAGCGGGAACAGCAGGCTGAAATGCTTTTGTCAAGAAGAACCGACAATGCAATAAAAAATAACTGGAATTCTACCTTGAGACGTCATTATGCCGCACTTGAAAAGTTTAAAGGCAAGTTAGTGCAGAAAGATCTAAAGCATCCTCTGAGTTTATTGATTATGCTGAGCCTCTTCCTTTCCAATCCATGAAATTGCCGCAGTAGCCACATATCTAATTGCTGCATTATTCTCCAATTTTACTGCCAGTAGTGCATTGTGTAGCACCTCCCATGAAACATTGGAGGATATTCTGGTGATTGACTGCTCGCTGCTTGAGAAGGGCAATGGATTGATGGCAGATCCACGTTCAGATACAATAACTAGGCAACCTCTAACTAAATACTGAAGTTTGGAAAATGATATAATTGGTTAAATTAATTTGCATCACTTAATAAAATATACGTAGTATATACATAATACCTGTAACAAGATCATTCTTTGTTGAACAAGTTTTTATGCAAACATGTATTACATATTTTGTTTACCAACAATCTCAAAATTATAATTCCAAAAAGCTATTCTACAATTTGTACTTCACCTATAGTACTCCACATGTAAGGATGATCATGTTTTAATTCAGTGAAAACCGTTTCTTAAGGATAATTATCTTCTATGTTTCTCGGTATCTACTAAACAATAACTTTTGGTTTCTATTTTCGTGTAGAAATTTTCATTACACCAAGCTAAGCTTTTAAGTTATTTTGGAAAAAATGTGCTGCAGAAACACACAATGCTTTAGGCATTGTGCTTTAGGGGTGGGGTTTAGGATTATTAATACCTATATATTTTTACCATGCAACTATATCCTCACTGGACACGACAAGTTTGAAATAGTTTCTGTAAAAAATGTATTCAAATGGCCCATCTTCTACAATTTTGAAATCATGTGAATGTTTTTACCCATTTTGTACTCTACAGTAATCATATGGACAATGATGCATTTGCATGAGCTAAATATAATAGATTAAATTACATCCCTCTTCTTAATCTGACACGCATTCTTGTGTGTCATTCTTGATTTGTGAATGTTTATTTAGTATTTCTTTATTCTACATCAATCGATAAATTCATTGTTTATAACTTGAAAGTGATTTACATTCCTGGTTATCATGATTTTCAACATGTTTTGTATTATTATGAACTATGAGACCTTTCTGAAGTTCCATGTATTTGCTATTTTTTTGGAACTGGCCAGAAATGAGAGACAGTTTATAGTTGTATACCAGAGGTGAACTTTGCAAAGGAATCGATATACAATATCATCTGGTTTTCTATATTCAAGCATTTGTTCGAGATGTAGCTGAGAAGATTTTCTCTCTGAATTGACATGATGTGGACAATTAAAATGGTAAGTAGGCTACTGGGCTGAATGTTGTTTTGTTAACAATTTTATGGAAAAATCATCTCATGGTCTAATGTCCATTCCTTGTTGTACACCTCTTTGGGCAAGATATCTGCATCATTTTAATAGGAATTGTTTCATGCTGCTTAGGACTATGTTTTTGTTGCGTGCTTAACTGGGCGGGAGTACTGCTGAGAAAATCTATTTGATTTTATATAATGATAGATGATGAATGATTACTCAATGTCTTGAATCCTGATAGACGACTACTCGCTAGAAGATATGAAAGGGACAAAAGAGGTAAAGTTTCCAAAATTAGTTGATGGGAAGTTGTCTCAAGAGCAAAGATAAGAGTTCTATGGAAAGATGGAAGTTGTCTCAAGAGCAAAGATAAGAGTTCTATGGAAAGATGGAAGTTGTAATTTTGGTTGTGGATGTGTATTCATCAGAATTAATGAATTTGATTGCGAAGGTGCGGGTGTAATCATTTCTCCAGAAAGGCATGTCTTGAATGACATGTTCATGAATGACGTTCAAGCTAGAGTTCAAATCGTTACTGCCAATAAAGAAAGATATGCTTGCACTGTTTTGGCATTGGATCCCACTTATGGCTTAGCCATTCTGAAAATTGGTGTATCAAACTCGACCGCACTCGCGTTTCCTTATGCTATGATTTCTGACCGGGATGATCTCAGAATTGGTGAAGAAATTTACCCTATTGGCCTTCCAGGGTATTTGTTCAATTCTTTTCCAATTGGGCACATTTCATATAGAAGCTTTGGCGAAGTACTAAAATTGTTGAAAAATCCCTTAAAAAAGTAGAAGCTATCATTGGAAAAAGAGAAAAATGAGGGAAGGGGTTCTCGGGATCGCAGTGCCTCCTTTGTTTGTTGTGCTGATGCCCTACATTTCCGTGATGTGCTTAAGAGTTCAGTTTTAGTTGTCCAAGTGAATAATGTGCATGGTGGTGCGCGGGGATGTCATTCTTTGACCGGCGAGGAGATATTATTGATATGTATCTTTTCATTTCCAATGATCAATGTTTTGGGATCCGTGTAGACTCCATCAGATTGTATGTTGCTTCACATCTGAGAGAGTAGTTAGTCAGTTAGTGTGTGGGATCCTCACGGTTTCAGTCGTTGGTTACTTTTGACTTTTAAAAATTGGCAATGATGTAATTACTCTATCAAATACTTCTTTGTGCTTCTTTTGTAAGTAACTGAATTCTCACCCGGGACATATATTAAGCAATAGCGTTTTTGAGTTAATCAACTCAATGGAACAAACGGGGGGATCACAAGTTCATTCTGTTTGTTCCATTGAGTTTATTAACTCAAAAGAGCTATTGCTTAATATATGTCCCGTGTGAGATTTTAATTGATTACAAAAGAAGCACAAAGAAATAGTTGTCAGAGTAATTACATCATTGTCAATTTTTAAAAGTCAAAAGTAGCCAACACCTAAAACCGTGAGGATCACATACACTAACTACTCTCTCAGATGTGAAACAACATACGATCTGATGGAGTTTACACGGATCTCAAAACATTGATCATTGGAAAGAAAAAGGTACATATCAATAATATGTACTCGCCGGTCAAAGAATGGCATCCCGCGCACCACCATGCACGTTATTCACTTGGACAAATGAAACTGAACTCTTAAGTACATCACTAAAATGTAGGTTATCAGCACAACAAACAGGGGAGGGGCACTGCGATCCCGAGAACCCCTTCCCTCATTTTTCTCTTTTTCCAATGATAGCTTCAACTTTTTCAAGGGATTTTTCAATGGTTTTAGTACTTCGCCAAAGCTTCTATATGGATATGAAATGTGCCCAATTGGAAAAGAATTAAACAAATACTCTGGATGGCCAATGAGGTAAATTTCTTCACCAATACTGAGATTATACCGGTCAGAATTCATACTATAAGGAAACGCGAGTGCGGTCGAGTTTGATACACCAATTTTCAGAATGGCTAAGCCATAAGTGGGATCTAATGCCAAAACAGTGCAAGCATATCTTCCTTTAGCGGCAGTAACGATTTGAACTTTAGCTTGAACGTCATTCATGAGCATATTACACAAGGTCAAGACATGCCCTTCTGGAGAAATGATTACATCTGCACCTTCGCATTCAAATTCATTATATTATGATGAATACAGATTCATAGCCACAACAACAACTTCCATCTTTTTATAGAACTCTTCTCTTTGCTCTTATGACAACCACCCACCAACTACTTTTGAAAGATTTACCTCTTTTGCCCCTTCCATATCTTCCAGCAAGCTAGCGACTAACTGTCTATCAGGACTCAAGACATTAGTATTCAATAATCATCCATTATATAAGATCAAAAGGATTTCTCAGTAGCACTCCCGCTCAGATTAAGCACGCAACAAGAACATAGACCTAAGCATCAAGGAACAATTCCTATTAAAATGATGGAGATATCTCGCCTAAAGAGGTGTACAACAAGGAATGGACATTAGACCATGAAATGCTTTCTCTATAAAACTGTTAACAAACCAACTAAAAACAACATTCAGCCCAGTAACCTACTTACCATTTTAATTTTCCACATCATGTCAATTCAAGGAGCAAATCTTGTCAAGTATATTTCGAACAAATGCTTGAAAATAGAAAACCAGATGATATTGTATCTCGATTCCTTTGCAAAGTTCACCTCTGCTATGCAACTATAAGCTGTCTATCATTTCTGGTCAGTTCCAAAAAAATAGCAAAATTCATGGAACTTCAGAAAGGTCTCATAGTTCATTATAATATAAAACATGTTGAAAACCATGATAACCAGGAATGTAAATCACTTTCAAGTTATAAACACTGAATTCAGCGATTGATGTGGAATAAAGAAATACTAAATAGACATTCACTCATTCACAAATCAAGAATGTGTGTCAGATTAAGAAGAGGGATGTAATTTTATCTATTATATTTAGCTCACACAAATGCATCATTGTCCATATGATTACAAAATGGATAAAATCATTCACATGATTTCAAAAATGTAGAAGATGGACCATTTGAATACATTTTTTAAAGAAACTATTTCAAACTTGTAGTGTCCAATGAGGATATAGTTGCATTGTAAAAATATATAGGTATTAATAATCCTAAACCCAACCCTACCTCTAAAGCACAATGCCTAAAGCATTGTGTGTTTCTGCAACACATTTTATCCAAAATAACTTAAAAGCTTAGCTTGGTGTAATGAAAATTTCTACACGAAAATAGAAACCAAAAGTTATTGTTTAGTAGATACCGAGAAACATAGAAGATAAGTATCCTTAAAAAGCGGTTTTCACTAAATTAAAACAGGATCATCCTTACATATGGAGTACTATAGGTGAAGTACAAATTAGAGAATAGCTTTTTGGAATTATAATTTCGAGATTGTTGATAAACAAAATACGTAATACATGTTTGCATAAAAACTTTTACAAGGGACTTTTTTGACAATGTGAGCTAACTCCAAAAACTCATCCTCTCTTCTCCTGAAAAATAAATGAAATACAACTCAATTTGATTAGAATAATGTATGAGAATTCAAAATTTGTATAAAAAGAACTTATAATAACTAATCAAGTGACAAGATCAGTATTATTTCTCTAAAAAAAAAAGACAAGATCAGTATTACTTTGCATTATACTTTCTATCTAAGAAGAATCATTGAACAAACAAAAAAGTTAACCGAAAAACTAAGCTCAACACAAAAACCCTTAATCTCCAACTACAAGGAAATCAAGATTGGATTGTTAAGTACTTCAGTGTCCCTTTTAAACGCAGGTGATATAAAAGTTAAATATCAATCTAAGATTGCTATCTAAAGTCTTGTTTATTTACTCTTCTTTGATGCTGATAAAGAGTTTTTTTAACTGTTTTACTTTATGTTTACAGGGTGGTGAAGTTATTCAAAAATCCGAAAGATAATAATCATAGTATATTATGTGTGTTTACTCTTTATGACCATCTTGTGTTCTGCATTTCAGTTGTAAACTTGAAGTACTATACCCCAAATAGTTTTGTTAAAGATAAGGGGTTATCATGTCATTTTTCGGATGTGACCTTTTCCCCTTAAGATATCATTTTTGGTCCTTTTCTAACAATTTTAGTTTGGAGAAATACATTCAAATCCATAATATTATGTACACCAAAAATTGCCATCTTGGCTTTGTTCGGTCTTGTATTGGTGTGAGAGTTGAAATGTTAAGTACTTCAGTGTCCCTTTTAAACGCAGGTGATATAAAAGTTAAATATCAATCTAAGATTGCTATCTAAAGTCTTGTTTATTTACTCTTCTTTGATGCTGATAAAGAGTTTTTTAAACTGTTTTACTTTATGTTTACAGGGTGGTGAAGTTATTCAAAAATCCGAAAGGTAATAATCGTAGTATATTATGTGAGTTTACTTTTTATGACCATCTTGTGTTCTGTATTTCAGTTGTAAACTTGAAGTACTATACCCCAAATAGTTTTGTTAAAGATAAGGGGTCATCATGTCATTTTTCGGATGTGACCTTTTCCCCTTTAGATATCATTTTTGGTCCTTTTCGAACAATTTTAGGCTGGAGAAATACATTCAAATCCATAATATTATGTACACCAAAAAAACTGCCATCTCGTCTTTGTTCGGTCTTGTATTGGTGTGAGAGTTGAAATGTTAGGGTTGCCCCCCCCCCCCCTAGAATTCAAAATTTCACCTGCAGTTAAGGCATCTTTTTAAAGGACAAAACCAAGGTATTTCAGCATGAAAATTTGAAAACTTAAGGTCGTAGAGGCACAAAACCATGTTATGCAATTTTAACACTGAAACATTTTGCACCGAAGTTTGGTTGAGGTTTTGATGGTTCGACCATTCAAACAAAGTTGTTTTAGGGTTTTAGATCCAACTCTTACAAAATCATATTTTACTTATAGAGAGAGTCATAAAGCAGTGTCAAAATAACTATCCAAAATGTTGAGGAGTATAAATATGTTTATATGAACCTTACACAAACAAATGCTCAGAGCATATTTAAAAAAAAAAAAGCCTATTTAAACACCTGTTTGCAGAACTTACTGCAATTTATTCAGTTTTTATGCTGAACTATGGCTATCAAATTACGTGAGCAAACTATTTTATTATACCATTTTCCAAATAGTTACGTAGTATAATATAATGCTAATGTGAGGCTCACGAAATGAAGGTCCACGAGACCTTTCTGAAGTTTCATATATTTGCTATTAACTAGGCTCGTAGGTTCAAGAATTCAATAATATTTGCTTACTCCAAATTTTTCATATTCAAATTTACCTTGTAGATATACATAACTGTGGGTTGAATCCCCAAAGCATAGAATTAAACAATTAGGATGTTTTTACTTGGATTGTTTTCAATCCAAGACCAGACTTAAACAGACCAGACTTGACTTCCGTAGTTATAAATTACACAGAGACCAGACATTTACCAGACCAGACCAGTTTAGACCAGACCAGACTTAAATACACCAAACTTAAACAGACCAGACCAGACCAGCAAATTATAGTCCAAGTAAAAACATCCTTAAACCTATACAATAAATGCTTAAGCTTTGTGTGAGAAATATGTCTCAATGACTTGCTGCTCCTAGACCTTTTTCGTGAACAAGATGTTTTTGGGTGTAAAAAACTCAATGGTGCATTTAGATATTCCTCCAAATAAACACCGGCAAGTTTTAACACAATTGAGATCATAGAACAATTAAAATATAAACTCAAAAAAACTCAAATTTCATAACGAAACAATGTGTGTTCATTTCATCATATGAGTAGATTCTGCTATTTTCAGGTGGTGTTACTTTCTCTTTAATTATTACCTTTCGTCTTTGTGTAACAATCTTAGACTTGAAAAGGGGCTTCAAGAAGATATATTATTCATTCCGTAGAATTCCGCTAAAGCTCTATTTGGAGGCCTCATATTTGTTTGAAAACTGAAATGTTAGGGATGGCAAAAATTAAAATTTTCCATATCCAAATTTAGCACTCATGTTAAATCACAAGCCCAATGTTTTATAAAAGAACACAAAATGGAAAAAAGAAGACATTCTTGTACAACTGTATGTGTGTAACATAAAAAAGTAAAAAAAGAAAAACAGATCACAAAATATAAAAGAAGCAGACAGTCCAAATGAAGAGTAACCCTGGATGAAGATAAAGTATAGGGTTATTTTGCCTGGAACTAAAGCAAGAAGATTAGCGATAAAGAGTATTAGTGATAGAGGGGTCTGAATCATCTGATGTTTGGGGCTGCGATAAAAAGAGTAGAGCAACCCTAGTTTAAAAAATGGAAAATAACTTGCCAAAGTTATTGCTTTTACCAGAATCCCAGAGCAACCCAGTCACCATTGCACTTTTTGCCAGAAGCCTCGCCAAAGTGTTGCTTTTACGCTTAAGAAACATAACCAGAACCAATGAAAAATTGCTGCTTTCTCACCCATCTGCGCTTAGTAAAAGCAACGCCCACGAGCAGCGCTCGCTGCCTCGCTGGTGCTTCAAGGTGTTTTGGGGTGGTTTGGGGTTGAGGGGGAGGGTAGGGGGTTGATTAGGAAAACCCAAAAAATATTATATAGAACCGAACCGGGCCCGGCCCGGCCCGAACCGGACCCGAAGTTACCCCGGGCCGGTTCCGGGCCTCCCCTACCTTGAACCGAGGCCCGGCCGGTTCAAGGCCCGAACCGGGCCCGGCCCGGAACCGGTCCACCCCTAGGATAATGTGTAAAATGGATGAAATGTTTGATTAGGATTTAAAAGTTTCTCATAATGGGTATATAAAGAGAAATGGTGGGTCGGGCCGTTGATAGGGGACCGATAAGCCCAACTATATAAAATGCTAATCTAGTACATACAATGGATATGTAAACTGTACAATTATATAAATGTCGTCTGCTAGGTGTACATATGGGTGGACCGGTTCCGGTTCGGGCCCGGTTCGGGCCTGGGCCCGCCCGGGCCTCGGTTCAGAAATGGGAGGCCCGGAACCGGCCCGGGTAATCCCGGGTCCAGGTCGGGCCTCAGATCTATTTTTTTTTTTTGGCTTTTCCTAATTAACCCCCAACCCTCCCCCTCACCCCCAAACCACCTCAAATGGTCCAAAATACCAAGCCCAACCCAAAAAACTTAAAAAAATTCAAAAAAAAAATTAATTTGGCCCGAACCGGTCCGGGCCCGAACCGCACAGTAACCGGGCCGACCCGAACCGCCCCCCGAACCGGTTCCCTGGCCGGGCCGGTTCAAACAGTAACCGGGCCGGGGCGGTTCTGGGCCGGGCCGCCCAGCCCGAGTCCATCCCTAGTTGTACATGAGCCACTGTCCAGGCCAAATAGTCGGTTTTTTTACAAAATAATAATTGCCAATTCTTGTTTATTTTAGCATATCTGGTAGAAGAAGATAATAAGGAAAGAAAATAAAAAAATTTATAATTCTTCAAATTCCCTATCTATTATTGCTGGTGCTACCGGTGTTCTGCCAGTATTACCTTTCCTTAGTTTTGGACTCGGGTTGGGCCGCCCGGCCCGGAACTGGCTTGGGACCGGTACTGTTTGGGCCCGACCCGGTGATCCGCTACAGTCTGGTTCGAGTAGGACCGGCCCGCTGGTTAGGGAAGGGCGGGCTCGGGTCAGCTGAATATGGAACCGGCCCGGCTGGGGTGGTTTAGGGGGGTCGGGGGGTCAGGGGTTAATTAGAAAAAGGAAAAAATTACAAAGTGGCCCGAGGCCCGACCCGGGCCTAGGAAAAAATTACAAAGGTCGGGCCGCCCGGCCCGGTATTGTTTGGGCCCGTCCCAGTACCCGGTCATGGGGATGGTTCGGGCCAACCGGAACAGGTCTATTTCCGGTGCGGGCTCGGGCCTTGAAAATGGTGAACCGGTCCGGCCGATTCGGGCCAAATTTGTTTTTTTTTTTTTTTCCAATTTTTTTGGTTTCTACCGGGTAGGGCTGGGTGTTTTGGGGTGGGGGTGGTGGGTGAGGGGGTAATTTAGAAAAAAGAAAAAAAATTAACTTGAACTGGAACCCGGCCCGGAACCGCCGGCTACCTGGGCCAGTTCCGGTTCCCTACTACCCAAACAAAAGCCCGGCCGGGCCTAGACCCGAACCGGCCCGGCCCCAGTCCATCCCTACCCGGGCCGGTCCCGGTCCTTCCCCCAAACACAAAAGGCCCAACCGGGCCTAGGCCCGGCCCGGCTCCATGCCTGCCTTTCCTACAACTGCCGTATCCACAATGGCTATGATATTCAATCCTCGCAACCTTCTCTCCCAGTCTCCCACCAGGGCTCTATTAATATGATCCAGTGAGTGCATCAAGAGGTTGTCAATCCGCAACTCCCATGTTCTTATTGAGATACTAATCTACACTCTACAGATGTACGTGTACCAATCCAGCTTAGCCAATGGAAATGGAATTAAGGTGGTTGTCAATTATGGACTCGTATCTCAATTATGGTCTTTATGGATTATTATTTGAGTGACATTAAAACCATTGCTGATAACTTTACTACCATTGAATCATTGATGCTGTTATATGACTCGTATCTCACACTGATCACTTTCAATACAACATCCTTGGACTGTGACACAAGCAACGAATCTTTGGTTATGGGAGTTCATTTCTCCGGGAGCTTTTGTTTTGATGACTTGTGGAGCTTCTTGTCCACAAACAAGGCATCATAAATCTCTGTTCTCAAGCTTTGGAGAGTCGTCACCAAGCATTCACCGCTCAACCAGAGACCTCCACGCACTTGGTTTAACATCATTCTTCAAGCTCAGCTGCACTAGGATACCAGCATTCAAGTGGCCAGCAGTCATGCCACGTCTGGCATGGTGTTCGCACTCGCTGCAGTAGAGCAAAAACATGGCCTAACCATATAGACGTAATAAAAGTGTTTTAGACATCCAAAAGTTAAGCCAAACAGGCACCTCCTAAGGGTGACACCAACTGGGGGAAAGTTCATCAAGTTCCACAACTCAGATTCAGGAGATTTTATGTACAGTCACACTGTCAAATATATATAAGCAAGAGTAGAGATAACAGACAGTCCCTACGAACATTGTGAATGGTGATTGCATGTTTAGTTCATGAATCAAACAACAATGAGTTTAGCAGACCAAAGAGAAGCAACCAGCTGGTCTAACTCAGAGCGAGGAGACATCAGACTTTAGTTAGTCTGCTGTCCAGCTTTGCTCAACGATCTCACGCACCTTCCTGTTATACTCTCGCTTATTCTCACTAAACAGCCGTGCTGCTTCTGAGTTGGCAGGTGAGTTTGGATTTGGATCACAAAGCAACGACTGCAATGAAAAATCAAATCATCAATCAACTTATGTAAAGGCTTGTTTGACTGAAAAAAACTGAACTGGTATATAGTTATATACTTCTAATAACTGGTCTGGCCTGGTTTAAATTTTTTTGGTTCGGTCTAATATGGTCTGAATCTTTGATTCCATCTAGCTTGATCTTGCATAATTTTACTAAGTGTGTGCTTTGACATTTATAACTCGTACTTCTTAGATTAAACTAATTCTATATTATATAACAATTCAAACAATGAAATGGTAACATTCCAACTTCAAGATTAAATAAGATATTTAGGCCTCTAATTCCGCGTATTAAACCCCCACCAACCACAGAAAAAATTGCTTTTGACAAAGTTGGTTTTATTTCAAACAAATTGAAAAAAAATAATTAGAAAGGCAGTAATTTGAAGAAACGTCACTTTTTTCGGTAACTTGATTTTAAAAACAAAAGAAGAAAATATTCGAGGGGCTACATGGATCCCCAACATTGAAGATCACTAGCTTGTGTGATCTGCCATGGGCCACCATTAACATATGTAGTATTTAATTATAAGAAAGTATTACATCCGTCCACACAAAAAAGTCTTTTTCCATCATGTCATAACTATTTAATTTGAGTGAAGTACAACTCTTCGAGTCATCAATCCTAGTATATTTTAAAATTTATTTGTTGCTTTAATTACATACGCAGTATAACATATTCAACTCATGTTAAACACTTTAATTATTTGATATATAAAATTTGTGTTCTTTTGTTGAAATTGCACACTTTTTTGGGGGACAGAGTGAATATTTTAAATGGAAAACTGTCAAATAGGCCCTTGCAATTTATCTAAAAAGTCAATTAAGACCTCGATCCTAAAAACACTCAATTAAACTCAAGAACTTTAGAAAAACACTCAAATGTGTAATTTAGCAGGTTAAGGTCTGTAATGTATAATTAGTTATTCATATGTGGTGACTCACGTGTCTATTTTTATTCATTTTTAGTTTCTTTCCTTGTATCTCCTCTTCTTCTTTATTCTTTCACCCCACCCATCGTATGAGACCTTCTCTCCCCTTCTACTTTCTTCTTCCACCCCATAGACTCCACTACAACCCCCACACGGATAACAATAAGTCAATTACAAAAAACTGCAATACCCTAAAATATAGTATAATTGGCATCAACTCTTGAGCAAGAGAAACAAGGCTGTCCTGCTTTCTCTCTTCCACCCAGAAAATGGAAGCAAAGAACGATCTTTAAAGTCCACCTCACACCAATGCATAAGCTGTCCATTCCTTGGCGGATCCACTTCTATCTTTCCATTTCCTCAGCCATCACCAACGCTTCTCGACGACAAAATGGCACCAATAATCACTGATAGCTCACTAGTAAGCCGCTAGTGGTATTTATAGAGAGGAGGAAGAGCTATGAGTTAGAGAGAGAAAGTAATATGATATTCATGAATTCAAAACCCTTTACATCTAACCCAAGGGGTATTTATAGTAGAAGTAAATGCTGAGTGCATCAAATGCACGTACACGTGTTAGCTAGTCTATGGACGAGAGCCCTGCTGTTTGGCAGAATGTGACGTGTGTCTTCGTAGGTAATCTGCTGAGGTGGTGGACGAGGCATCCCAGGACAAGGTGCTTGAACCCTCATTCTTGTCGTTCCTTTGCTTCGACTGGTTTCTGCCTGGGCTGGGCCAAGCCAGGTTTCCAAGCCGAGGGGGCTGTACAGGTTAATTTTGATCCACCCGGTGGACCCTACCCATCACTTCTGGTTCCGCCTTTTCATCCCCACCTTGACTGATACTCAGGATTCTGATTCCCTACCGTTGATCTAGGTGATGTGGAAGAAGAAAGTAGAAGGGGAGAAGGAAGGATAAAAGAAAGAAAAAGAAAAGTCCAGTTTGCTGTGAGGAGGGTGGGGTGAAAGAAGAAAGAAGAAGGGGAGAGAAGTCTGCTATTGAATGGTGGCGTGGAACTGTGGAAGTATAAAGTAGAAGGGGGAGAGAGAAGGAAAAAAAAAGAGTAAAAATAGAATCATGGATCGCAACATGGGTAAGTAACCGGTTAATGGGGCCTTAACCTGCTAAATTACACATTTGAGTGTTTTTCTAAAGTTCCTAGGATTAATTGAGTCTAGATTTGAGGGCTTAATTGAATTTAAAATATACTATGAGGGCTTATTTGACAGTATTCCCTTTTTAAATCAAACATGGAGTATTATTCAAGTTAAGAACCAGG